CTTTTAGCAAAGCCTCAATTGCACCCTTCCTTTGAATTTTGTTCTGAATATTAGACAAATTGTTCGTGGCATTATTGACATTGTTGTTCACATTTCCAAAAACCTATTTGCTCTACACTTTGAGCATTTATTTTAGAGTTTGAAGTTTTTTGTTAAGGATGTACATAGGGCAGCCTACTATGTTAGTGTTCCAACAGTAAAAAATAAAGCTAGAGGTTGAGTCATGTAAAGTCCATATTTTGTGAAACTTGAAAGGGAAATTTTTCCTTATACTAGTAATACTAAATTCAAACGAAATTGGGAAGTGGTCGAACCTCAATCTAGGAAGAGTTGTGACATACATATTAGAGTAGTCATTCAACAAGATTGATTGCAAAAAAAAACTTATTCAGTCTTCTTTCCATTAGACTATGACAAATTTTACCATTAAACCAAGTATAGTAAGCTCAATTGGTTTAAAGTCCCACTAAATTGTTTTGATCAACTCAGTTTGAGAAGTCCAGGAAAGATTTTTTTTATTAGGGGTGTGTCTTCCTCTATGCTCATGATCTCCAAAAATGGAGTTGAAAACTCTTAGAAAACACCAAGTTCAGGGTGTGTTGGCTGAATCAAGGATAAATCTTTCCAAAAACTTATTATTTTAGTAATTCATGTTGAGGCATAATTCGCAGTGATGCAAATTTGCTTAGAGTTATGATATACCATCAGAGAGACAAAATGATCAGTCAATGTCATTATTAAGAGATCTAGAGATTTTTCATAGCTACACTAAAGTTTAGGGGTCAAACCAGTCCTAAGGTTAAGAGAAAAAAATTGAAGGCATAAGCTATCAGAGAATCTAAAGGGAAACTTGTCAAAACTTTCCATGGTTAAGATTAAATACAAAAATCGGGTTTTTGAGTTAGGAGCACAAATTTTAGAGCCAGTCTAGTTGGGGCATGACTAAACCCCTCGCCTTCCAAAATAGACACTTCATAAGGAGGGTTTTTATGAACCAACATTAGTAGGCATGACAACAAAACCCACACCCGTGGGTCCCGAACCTGCCCCGAAGTTGACGGAGAAAACCCATTTTAATAGGGGTTGGGTTCGGGTTTGTGTTTTCCCTGATTACAAAATATGAGAATGGATCGGGTAATGGGGACACTAGTACCCACCCCGAACCCGTCCCGTTTATTTTATATGTATATTATTATTTATTTTTGATAATTTAGAATATTAAATATGTAGTCAATGTTTTGATAATTTGTTTTGTATTTATTATTTAAAATATTTGATATATATATATATATATATATATATATATATATATATATATATATATATATATATATATATATATATATATATATATATATATATATATATATATATATATATATATATATATGATTTTTTGAGATTGTTTTATTTTATTATTTATAATGTAATTTAATTTTGGAAAAAATAAATATTTTTATTTAAAAAAATTGATTTTACTAAATGGATGGTGGCAGGGATAATCAAACCCAACCCGAACCCGTTTGGGACAAGTTTGGGTTTTAATTCTCCATCCCCGTTTGAGTTTGAGGCAGGAAGCGAGGATTGTTTAGCAATTCGAATTTGGGTTTGAGGGAGGTAAAAACTATTCTCGACCCGCCCCGTTGCCATGCCTAAACACCAACGCCAGATCTAATTGCACACACTCTTTGACTTGGTGTTTTGCTTAAGCTTCTTCTTCTAAGATTTGGATATGGCCTTTTGGTATCTCAGGTAATCAGAATCTAAGCTCTTATTATCCTCTAAAATGTCATCAGATGCATCTTGCTCAGCCAAAATTTCCTAAGAATTAGAAAGAAAAACATTGTTCTTGTTGTTGGTAAGGTCCTCCTCATAATTAACATTGTTTTCTTCAACTTCAAAAGTAACATCCACGAAATATGAGTCCTCAAAGCTAATGACCTCAGCAATGTTCAAAGGTTGAGAGTGTCTACATTTTAACTTTTCACAAGTTAGAGCTAATCTAGATTATTTTCCAAGTTATGGTATTGATTATTTTACAAGATGATCTTTGTGTCATCTACAATGGTCTTAGATTTACAATATCTCAAAGGTTCAAGAATTTTTATATTGAATCTAATGCGTTAAGTACAATTAGATTGATGGTATACAATACTTATTTTTTTTCACATGTATGTACCTCAAATCTAACAAATAAGGATATTCCCCTATTATACCATGCTCACATTATCAGTCTCCATATTTTGTTTTTAAACAATTTTGATTTCTCTTCTCCATTTCTGGTATTAAAAAAGGTTAATGTAAAATATCTTTTAATATGTGATGATTAATGAATATATGTAACGAAAAAAGTTACTATCATTCTTTTCATGTCCTTCTTCTATTTTATAATGTTTTTTATATAATAGTAATATTAAAAAGTGTAATGAATTGAAAAAGGATAATAGTATTCTTATTAATTTCTAGTGTATTTTATAAAATAAAATATAATTATTTAGGAATAGTCTGCATAATAATTAATAAATAATACCGTTGAAAAAACAATATTATATTAGAAATACAAAATAACATTCACTTTAAGATTTGTTTTGGTAAAACACTAATTTTGAAATGGGGGAGTATCATCTAATTGAAATATTTGAGTAAAATAATATCTAAAATGGTTTGCTAAAAAAAATACTAAATTATAATTTTGATTTTCGCTCATGATATATGTCCCTCTATTTTTTAAAACAATTTTGGTTCTTCTTCCCACTTTTTGTTCAAAAAAACGTTAATGTGAATTTTTTAAATGCATAACAATTAATGGATGACATGTAATATGTCACTTAGCATAAGTTTCAGTTTATTATAGGTATTATGTTTCAATTTATTATAGGAATTCATTGTTATTATGTTCTTATTGACTATTATTATTCTGAGTTATGATGTTATTATGCATTATTATGATGAGTTTTGGCGTAATATTATGACAAGTTTTAGTGCATTGTTATTAAAACTTATATTATACATTGTTATGACGTCGGATGGAAACACAACTATAAAAAACTTTCAAGCTAATTTTAATTTGTTTTCATTTATATACATTTTAATGTTACCATACTCTATCTCTAAATCTAATGGCTCTTATAATTGCATAAAACTCAACATGTAAGAACGATTTCCAAACCATTAGCTCAACAAAGGCAAGCATGAAGTTACCAGGAGGATTCTAGAGAACCTCCTTAATTAAAGGAGCGGTGAATTCCATATTATAAATGATCTTGACCTAGTCAATCTTAATAAAAGGAGTGACTTTGAGGACATGAGTTGCATTGAGGGATAAGCCACCATCAGTGGAGTCTTTTGAAACTAATTTGTCTTTGTCTAAACAACAAGGTAACTAAATCAAAACTCTGGAAAAAAAATTCGGTGTTGAAAGAAATAAGGAACAACCTCCTTTATATAAAAAAAATTGGCAAAAAAAGAAAATGGTCTATGAGCCAATTTATTAATTTAATCGATTAATCCTAGTTGACGATTGATAAAAACCTTTTAAAATACGACAATCCTAATCCAAAAAAGGAAACCTTAAAACAACTACATGGTTTAATTAAATAAAAGCTTTTCTAAACTATTAAGAGGTTATTTACATTGATCTAATTGATTGGACCAAGCCCTTACTTGATTAGGCAATGTAAAAACTTTACAAATTTATTATATATACTTCTTAATCCACTCCATGTAAGCCTTGATAGCTTTTCAAGAAGTTTTATGAAATCTGAGAGGGTTTTGTCATACCTCAATTTTGCCTCTGGATCATTCATTCATCGCATTTGCATCATTAGTTGGTCATTCATGCTTTAGGTTGACCAAAAGTCAACTTAAATCAGCATTTGTTTCGTTTTAGAGTTGAAAAATATCCGTTATCTAATTTCATGCATTTTTATCTCTTTACTCGCTTCTTGCATTGTATTAAGTTGCTTATATGTTGATAATATTGATATTTCGATTTTACAGACAAATTGTTAAAAGCGTTTTGACACTATACAAAAAATTAGCAGGCAAAATATTTTGAATTTTCACCTTTATCTGACCGTTTTATGAATCTTCGTTTCATGTAGATCATGTCGGTGTGCTCGCTTTATTTTTCGGTATAGTTTGCAGTCTCTTTCTTAATTGTCAGTGTTTATTCAGCGGGATATCCTTATTCTCATTTTTATTTTGATTTTGATCATTTGCATTCTTTTTAACCTTTGTGACCTATAATTTGTTTTAATGTGTTCATTTCTTTTTTTCGATTAATTAAATGTCCTTTTTTATCGTTTTTGATTATTTTAGGTGTTCTTTTTTTATTCAGAAAAATTGAAACAAAAAGTATTTTTGAATAGCTTTATTTTTAATCTTTCATTTTTCTTTGTCATTTTTATCAAAGGGGCATTTCTGGCATTTGTAAAAATTAGAAAACCTAGTTCATTAAGATATAAAGAGATAAGTTGAGATTGGAAAGGGGGGATATACCAGTTCACAAAACAATTGAAAATGAGAACCCATTTCTCATACTCCCTCCTCTCTGGAAGCTCTCATCATCACCGAGCATCATCGTTCCACCTATGTGAATGAACCCAGTTGCCATCACAACCTTCTGCTTCTGTTCACGAACCTACCTATTTCCCCTGTTCCACTAATTTGTTCTCCTATACCTCCGCCAGTACCCACACTGAAAACCCGCCTTCTGCCATCACTATGCTACTCCCTTCGGTACTGCTTGTTCCACCCTTCGCGAGAACCTCCCTTCTTCCGTAGACAACCTTCAACACATGGTACCACAAGCCATTAACGATGAACACTTCCCCTTAATACAACTGAAGATAGCTCCCTCTATACTCACGTAACTTTTTTCTTCTCCATTAATTTTGTTCATTTAATTGAATGTTGAAATTTATATATTGTTGTGTTGAATCTGAGCATTGAAGCTTGCACTGTTTATGTTAAATTTGAGTGTTGAAGTTGTTATCTTGTTATGTTAAATCTGAATGAAATTCTGATGTCATTATCACTTTGTTAGTGTTAAAATTGAATAAAGTTAATGTCAGTGTTTGTTTCAGGTCATTTGTGTTAAAACTAAATAATGGATTTTGATGTCGATACATGTTATATGTGTTATCTGTGGTAAACTTGAGTGAAGTTTTGATGTCAATGCCGCATTTATTTGTGTTAATTTTGAATGATGAAATGTTGATAGCATGATTCATGTTAAATTTGAATTTGGAATTCGGTTGTGGCGTCTTGTTGTGGCTTCTGTTTGCCTTGAACCTATTTGAGATGAGTTTTCAACACTAATTTGTTCTTTTTGGTTACTTCTCGGTGATGGGAAATTAAGACAAAATAACAGAATAATATGCAGTAGATATAATATTTTCCAAACTTGTAGGAACCTTGAGGATCAACAACAAATATAAGACGACAACCGAATAATAAAGGCACAAAAAGAACACCAATATTTTTAACGTGGAAAACCCCTTAATATGAGAGTAAAAACCACGAGTCGTCTAGAACAAATAAAATAGATCCACTATAATCAATTGGGGTTACAAGAGAGTCTTAAAGTGATTCACAAATAACAATAACAACTGTAAATCACAAAGCAAACTAACTTACAAATAAGAATCATAAAGCTGAAAACTTTCCCAAATCTGCAGTTTCAATGTGAAGACCATATCTATCAACTCAGACCTTTTTTTAAAGATCCCAATAATATAAAGTTAGATATATGTGTTGTAAACAAGTCCACCAAATTTCAGCTCGATCCGACGGTGAACGAATCGAGGATCATCGTTTTAGTGAGACTGCTGCAGAAAAAACGGGAATGAGTTTCTCTCCTCTTTTCTCTCTTTTTGAATCCTTATTTTTCTCTATCTATCTTAACCATAAATAGACACTTTCAACTTATATAATTGAGATAAATATGCTATTCTTATTTGGTCCTTTCTCCACATAGAAATGAAACTCAAGCCCAACAAATCTCTTCCTCACAACTATGTAGAAGAAATCGCCAAACTGGCGATATCACAACATGCTTCAATTTTTCCTCTTGGTAATACTTTAGTCACCTTATCAAAACCATATCATCTATATGAACCTTAGCTAGCTCCAACAACTTAGCATCCAAAACATCACGTATCCAATGATATCTCATATCAATATGTACGGACCTATTATGAAAAGTAGGATTCTTACCAAGATGAATAGTGCTTTGATTATAAACAAATAACACATATTTGTCTTGAATAAAACCAAGCTCCTACGAAAATTTGTTCAACCATAGTAACTCTTTGCATGCTTCAGTAATATCAATAAACTCAGCTTCTGTAGTAGACAATGCTACACACTTTTGCAATCTGGATTGCCATGCCACAACCCTCCCCCCCCCCCCCCCCACCCCCACCCCCCCACCCCATGCGAATTTAATCATGTAGTCCAAAGTGGACTTTCTAGAATCAATATCTCCATCCATATCAGAGTCAGAGTATCTTACTAGAGTAGGCTTATCTCCTCCAAAGCAAAGCCTCATAGAAGTAGTACCGCAAAGATATCTTAAAATCCATTTTACAATATTCCAATGCTCTCTACCTAGATTTGAGAAAAATCTACTGACTGTACTAACAACATGTGTTATATCTGGTCTTGTACATACCATTGTATACATCAAACTAGTCACAACAAACGCATAAGAAACATATTTCATATCAAACGCTTCATATTCACTTGAAGGACTTTGACTACAACTCAATTTAAAATGAGTAGCAAGAGGAGTTCTTACTGCCTTAGATTTTTCCATTTTGAATCTTTACAACACTTTTTCGATATAATATTCTTGTGACATCTAAAGTTTCTTCTCTTTCCTGTCACGCATGATTCTAATGCCAAGAATCTGTTTAGTTGCTCCCATGTCTTGCATGGAAAATAACTCTCCCAACTGCTTCTTTAACCTATTAATGTTAGAACATTTTTTTCCCTAAAATAAGCATATCATCTACATATAACAACAGGATAATAAAGTCATCATGAAGGAAAGTCATTTTCTCAACCTCTAAATCAAGAGTAGTATCTAAACTCAACATAGTTCTGATTGATGGCATCTTTACAACGGGTGAGAAAATCTCATTAAAATCAACACCCTTTCTATGATGGAAACCTTTCACCATTAATCTAGCTTTATATCTTGGAGATATAGAGTTTCTCACATGTTTAACTCTATAAATCCACATGTTTCCCAAAGCCCTTTTGCCTTTAGGACACTTCACTAAATCATAAGTGTGATTATCATGCAATGATTTCATTTCGTCATTCATTACATACAACCACTTTTGATTTTCATCACTTTCTATGGCCTCTTGAAAACACTCAGGTTCACCCTCATCAGTCAAGTTTACATACTCATCATGATTATACATTGTAGAAGGTTGTCTCTACCTGATAGACCTCCTAAGTTGAACTTGAGATGATTCTGGAGCTTTACCAAGATTCTCATCTTGGGTCATATCATTTTCCCCTTCATCATCATCATCATCATCATCATCATCATCATCATCATCATCATCATTAGTTGGAATATTTACCTTATCTCCAAGTTGTTGAACATCAACATAATCATATGTATCACCATTATGATCATCACCACCAATAGGATCTAGATTATGATTAAGTAATTGAAATGGGTCAACATTAGACAAACTGATATCTTTCTTGGATGTAGTCTTCTCTACCTTATCGAGGTCTTCAATATTTTGGTCTTCCATGAATACTACTGTGATACGGTAGCAGAACCGACTATTTAATACTGGTTTTGTGTTTGTGTTTGCAAATGTTGCGGTAAGCAAGAGTCGCCACTGACTTTTCTTTTATCCAAATTAAGGAAAGGGTGAAAAGAACAAAAAAAATACCTTTTCGAGAATTTTCTGAGTAAGGGGGGTAGATTATGGAAAGGAAAGGTGTTAGCACCCTTTCCAACCTTAGTTTTCTACGGGCTCTTAGATGCTTAGCTCATGTTTTGAAAATTGCTTGTGCTTTGCGTGTTTTGAAAAATCGTTTTGAAAATGCCTTAGTGCAACGATTCACTTTATCATAACTCTTGTATCAGTCCTCAGGAGTGTTAACAAAGTGAATGTTTTTTAAAGTATTTTGAAATGTTTTGTGTAAGTGTGAAAGTTTTTTTTTTGAGCAAGCATCTATGAACTATCTAATTATACTCGAAAGGTTTGTTCTTTTCCCCCATCCTTTAGACAGCGCTATCCTACTATTAGTGAGTAGGTAGCCATATCGTTGGATATTTGAGGGACATTCGAAGGGACGTTACGGTCACGAAGGCAACTTGGCAAGAAATTTTAGTAACTGTCCTAAAGTTCTAAGATCACTTTTAACCAAGGCAACGTCGAGAGGGTCATCGAGGGACTTGTGATCTTTCAAACTAGAGGACAACCACTAAAGCTTCTCACGTTTTGAGAGTTGTGACTGTTTTTCGAAGGCAACCGAAGTGGGGTACCCTAGAGGTGTGCATGTGCAATTGATTTAGTTCAAGTATTTATCTTGTGTTATTAGGTTTGCTAACGTTTGATTATTAGTCTTCTCATACATGCCTAGTTACTAACAGTTAATATGTATAAAAAATAAAGTGCGGAAAACGTAAATCTAGACTATTACATGGCTTTCGGGGAGGGGGTATTTACAATGTACAAACAATTGGGGAAAGAAAAATAAAGAAAGCGACAAAAAGTCCTATTTATAACTATTACAATCCAAATAACAGTTACATCAATAATGTAAAAATGCGAAAACAATATAACGTGCGCGAAATAAAGAAACGTCTAAGAAAATCTAAGAATTTAGCTAAGTAAAATAAAAAATAATTTGGTTTTTGTTTATTTTAAGAAAATAATTAAATTAACTTAAATCTAATTTTAATTTAAAAAGATAATTGTTAAATGAATTTAAAGCCTAATGCTAATATTTTTGTATTTTTATTTGAGAAAATAATTTAAACACAAATTAAACCCTAAGTTCTAACTTATTTTAATTAAAAATGTTAAAGTTAATTAATTAATTAATTTCAGAAATTAATTATTCTAAAAATAAAAATTAATCCTAAGTTTTGTTGATTTTTTTATTTGATTTAAAAAAACTTACTGATTTAATAAAATAAACAAAATTAAAAGAATAAAAATAAAAACAAATAGAGATGGTAGAAACCATTGTCTTCCCCGGCAGCCTTCAACGTCAAACCTGTAAAAACGTGTTAAATTGAAAAAGAAAAGGCCATATCCTGCATGAAATTTCACCGAGTCTGAATCCAGGGTCAAAACTGGCTGGAAACAATGGAAAGAGAGTTACAATGCAAATGCAGATTGCACGGTTAAAAATTGAAAACAACCATGCGTACGTCTGAGCTTGCATGTAAAGACTCATTTCAGTCCTAAACATCACCCTGATCACATCAAGCCACAAAACATTAGTAAACAATGCATGAATATAAAATTTTGGATGCAAGAAGTTTTACCAAATCAGAGATTATGGTTTGGCCTCTTCTGGGCGTGTGATGGCTTGAATGAGGGATGGGAATGAGTCTTGGGATCTTCGGGAAGAAGATAGCACGCTTTGTTTGGATGGACGATGGCTGGAAATTCAGTTTTAAATTTCACAACTTTGAGAGTTTTGGTAATTTTTATGTGGTTCTTCTCAAGCAATTTTTTTGTGTAATTTGTGGGAACTCTCTATCAATAATTTTCGTGTCCTTTGCTCATGCCTTGGTCTTGTATTTATAGAGGAAGAAGAGGACTAGCAAAGATGGTAAGAATCCACCCATAATGATCCTCTTTCAAACCAAAATCAAACACATTAAAAAAGTTCCAAAAATGAAAATTCTTGCCCATTTTGAGGTACAATGCACCTAGCCTCCTTGTTGTACCCCAAAATTTGCCCTCCCATATTCTTCAAGAAAATGCCAAGTTAAGCTTCAAAGTTCCCCAAGGGTTGCACAGTGCAAGAGCCTCCTAAGCAGTCAAAACTAGGGTTTTTGTTCTGATCAAGAAAATGAAGTTTCCAAGGGCCCAATCAAGTCCCATATGCCTACAAATATGGTCAAGCATCCTCATATCAAGTTTCAAGACTTTCAGCACAAAATTGCACAGTCAAAACCCTAATTGCACTACAGTCAACTGCAGGGGCAAAATGGTCATTTGACAGTCAAAAGTTCAAA